TCATTATATATATACACAAGGTGTTTGATAAGTAACGATAAAACTCTCGCATAAAGATAAAGCGGACTAAACTGAATCGAAAAGTCCTCTACCATTTTACAATTTTCACAGTAGTTAACAAGATATTAAATACTAAAAATCGCTCTGAATATTGGTTTTCAATATTTTTTTTACTTAAATACTATGAAGTTTACAGAAAAACAGTAAATGACAAAAATTGTTTATTTTTTTCTTATAGAGTTCTGAGAATTTTTTCAGAATTTTTCAGTGCCGCATTTTCTATGTTGGTAAAAATCTAAAAATAATTGCCAATAATAATAATAAGAAAAATTCTGAAAAAATTCTTAGAGCTCTATGAGAAGAAAATGAACAATTTTTGTTTATTTAAACTCAATTTAGTCCGCTCTACCCCTATGCAAGAGTATTATCGTTATTTATCAAACACCTTGTGTGTGTGTGTGTGTGTGTATATATATCTGTGTATGCTTTATGTACGAATATTTTTTGCACTTATCGTATGTATAATTTTGATATAAATTAAAAAAGCTTTTTATTTAATTTAATTTAAGAAATGTTATTTTTTTTTAGTGAATGATTATAGCAGATGTAAAAATCAGTTAACGGCAAAAATAAAAATTAGTAGACATTATTGTTTCATCCTATTCAAATCATGCGAAACACTTTTTATTCATCAATCAGTCAATATTTCGGCAGTCGAGTGCCTTTTACGTCCACTATTGGAATCCGGATGTGGCTATCGAGTAGCAGCCGGCTCGAAACGATCAATGTGAAAACTTTCGTTTCCGCTCAATCGTCAATTCTGCCAACAAACGAGAAATGATACGAGTGCCACAGCGCGGTCGCAATTTCGGTGAAAAAGAGCCGCGCTATACCGTATACGTGATGCTACGTATAGCTATTGCTAGCCTGTGAGATCTTCGTGGTCATAAATCGCATTCTTTTTTAAGCGTTTACAGTTAGAATTGAATTGAGAATCTATAATTTCTAAAATCTACTTTAAATATAAAATTATATTTAAAACAGAACTTATGTACTCTACTTTTCCTATTTATTGTATGTAAATGGAACAATTTCTTGCATGAACAATAAAGATCTGAAGAAAGTATATACGAGAGAAATTGTAAAATAAAAATGAAACGAATGAGAAACTGTTGCGCATGGAGTGCAAATGGAGAATAACTCGAAGAAACAGCAGACTCAAAGGAGAAGAGAGAAATCGCAGGAAACGGTACAGAATAGAGTGAGAAGGAAGGAAAGGTTGAAAAGCTGGAGGAGAGCAAGAGATGCGCGCGCGAAAGGAGATGCAGGACGAGGAGGACGAGAGGAGTGCGACCAGAATTGGATAGGATAGGCGAACTGGTGATTACAGAGGCCGGGGATTCCCCGGGGACCAGCGCCGGTCTCCCGCGGGCTTCCACCTAATTCCATCCTGGCTGACTACTGACTCTCCTCTCCCTTTATCTTCCTCTCTATCTATCCCGCGTACCTATTTCCTCTCTTTCTGTCATTCACGTCTGCTGATGTCCTACTCTGTCTCTTTCTCTCTTTTCCTCTTACGCTTTCTCTTTCTATCCTTTACAGTGAGACGCTCCGTCTTCCTTTTATCCTCCACGTTTCATCAACTCTTTAATATCTCTCTTTTTCTCTCTCCAAAACATTTCCGTTTCCTTCGTCTTGTCGTTTTTCTCTCTACATCTATTTGCTTCGTTTTCTGCATTGCTCCTCCCCCCTTCTCTCTCTCGGTCTTTATTCTATACATTTATGATCCGCTCCTTTCTCAGTGTTTACTTTCTTCGTCTCATCTCTTGCTTTCTTTCTTTCTTTATCTTTTAGAGTAACTATATTTCGGTTATTTGATTGCACATATGTTTTTGACCTACTCCAACATCTTCGCAAGTTCAATGCTTTTTACCTTTCTATTTGTCTCTATTTTTTGCTGTTCATCGTGAATTGACATACAGACACCGCGTTACTCGATAGTTGATCACCTTTAGGTGAATATTTGACAAAAATAAACTTTTCGTGAATAGAGCAATTATTCTTCAGTTAGTTTTAAAAAATCAACACAAAAATTAATAAGACATTTGATAGATAGAAAGACTCTTCTTATGAAAATAAAATAACAATAATAAAGGGCAAAATAAGAGTCAACAGTTCTCATCTTGACTTACGGTACCATTTGTTCCTTTTTACACAGAGAAATTTAAACGGTTCAATAAAAACGACATCAGGGTATCATTTCACAGTCCTAATAAAATGGGTAAATATTTAAAAGTGCAAAAGGATCCTTGTACCCATACATCCAAGAACAATGTAGTTTATAAGATCTCGTGTAATAATTGTGATGCGTCGTACGTTGATCAGACGGGCAGACAATTGAAAACTAGAATTACAGAACATCGTAATCATATTAGGTATAACACGTCCGTCCGTTCTGTCATAATTGAGCACAGACTGCAGTATGACCATGATTTCCAATGGGACAACATAAAAATTCTTGATGGAGAGCCTTGCTATAGGAAATGCTTAATTTCGGAGATGTTCAATATTAAAAAGCAGAAAAATAGTCTAAATTTACAAACTGACACTGAAGGTCTCCACAAGGCATATATAACTAATAAATAAAGTTTGACTCTGTGATACTGGCAGTCCGTCTCCTCTCTCAGTCTGTGTCGATCCGTATTAGCGAATGTACATTTTAGTTTGTAACTGACACATAATGTTCATCTTACATGTTTGTTATCTATCAGAGTGCATATATTGTGTATGATTTAATTTATTGCACAACTTGACGCTTTATTGGCTGTTTTTATTATTCGGACTTTAATTTTTGTACTTACAACGGTGAACTTGTTTAACTATTTTACATATGGCCTCTTGGCGAGTTTTTATTGTTATTAGAATTTTGTTGTACTGCTTTTCTTATTGGTTTTTAGTATTTCATAAGAAAATGTTATTTTATATATTGATTAGATCTTTCTACGATAGACATTGAACGCATTTGACTGTCGTGTACGAACAATGTCGATTTCTACTTTGAAGACTCACTCAGGCTTATATGGTGAGGAATATGCGTATATTTTCGACAACTCATCTGTATTGTCTGAAGAGGGCTCAATCTGGCAGCCGAAACTTGTAATATTATAATTTCTTAGTTTATATACATTCATATTGATGGTACCTGACGTTTCATGTTTCTAACTAATTATATGTTTTATATTTGAAACTAGACGTTTTATTTGAATTTATTTTTATTTTTATTTGATTGTTGACTTACTTTGCCCTTTATTATTGTTATTTTATTAATAAGACAGTTAATCAACGATCTAATGTTTGTAATTTTACATAACAAATAATACGTTCTTTATTATTAGATACATATCGTGTAACTATGATTACGCAATTAGAGATTAAGAGCTAATTGTAAGTAAGATACTAAAATTAAGAAAGTACGTATTACCAACGAATAAAAATAAAAATAAATAGCATGTATAAATGTGAAAATATATAAATAAGCTTTAGAGAGAGTAAAACCATCAAAAGTATAAAACCATCACAAATTATGATGTAAACGTTCTGTACCTAATAAAAAACAATTTTTTTAATTTTATTAAAAATAATATTTAGTTTTACAACAATTTTAATATTTTGTTAATTTTTCTTTGAATTTTTCTTTTCTTAATTTTCCTTTTCCGAGAAAATACAGTAAATTGAAGATGCTTTATATGTAGCCTAGGCTGTATATCAGTCAAATTGTCAAATTATATCATACACATATTTGACGAGTATATTCCATCTATCAATCTATATTTTCTCCGAAATCAAACTTTATACTACAAATCTTTTCTTTCTAAATTATTTACTTCCTGCTTTTTTAGTTGCATTGCAAATCACACTTTATTCTTATATCATATCAAAATAAAATATAATGTAATATTACAATGTGCGATCATAAAATGCAAATGTACAATTGTAAAAAACAGTAGAATTATAAAGTTCTAAAGTTACTTAGATAATTCGGTCGTTTTTGTAATTATTACGGCGTTACGGTAGATTTTTTGCAACAATAGCGGCTTTTGGCACTCGTATCATACGTTACTTTTATGTCGGGGCACAGTTGCACGTGTCTGGAAGTTTCACGAAGCACCCTTTTAGCCAAGACTTCTTTTTCGTCCTTTACACAACGATGCTTTCACATGGATAAACACCTTGCAACGAACTTTGCTATTATTCGCGTGTCTTTGCGACACAAATGTAAAAGCTCATGAACGTTAATTCTGTAAAGCCGCCGTCAGCTAGGGACGGCAGATTCTCGCGTTTTGTTTTATTTTTATTTGTCCCTCGCGCGCAAAGCTTTCTTCTTTCCCCTGCCATCTTTTTCTTTCGCTACGGTGAATCGAGAAGGTTTCTAGTATTATTATGAATTACAATTTTTTCCGTCATATTGAGGTACTATAATACGTACACGACGTATTTTCATTTATCTCAATTTGTTTTGTAGTCAATATTTTTGAATTTATTATTGGGACATATCTTTTTAATAAAAAAATAAATAAAATTAATTAAATTACATGGCTAATCTGTTTATACTCGATCTTCAATTAATAAGGTTATCAATTTCTATGCATTGTCAATGAGAGAAAAAGAGACAAAATAGGGACAATTAATAATGTCGAACATTCATACTGAACATATACAGTGGCAAAGTATAAAGCATCTTTTAATTTATTATATTTTTTTGAAAAAGGTGATAATAAAAACCAAAGAACATTATAAAATTGTGATAAGAATAAATATTATTTTTCAATCAAATTATTTCTTAATTTACTTTTCGTCAATTTACGAGGAATGGTTTAAGTTCGTTCGTTCCAATATATTCCAGCATTTCGAAGCATGTTGGAGCACATGCGACGCGAACGAACCTTTTATATTTATGGTCAAGGCTGTATAATGATAAAGACGTGACAATAGCGACTTACGTTTGAGAGATCGAGGTTTTGCCTGCTTCCTCCTGGACATATCACCGCACTGGCACGCACTTACGAACGTGGACGGGAAGTACGGGTACACGGGGGATCAATAGCCGCTCCTCGCTGGCATGTCCACTCGCACTCGTCGAGAACTCGAATTTTGATTGAGGTTTACCTGTACGCGATGTTCTCTTGTCGTCAACGGTTTTATCCACGAGGAATGGCGTGATCGCG